TACATGGACCAATGGATGCAGGAACAAAGCTTACGGTCAAATTCAGGACCGGGGACATATGCCTTCGAGAACGTCGACGAAAACATGGGACGGTAGACGACGAGGACGGCGAGTTCACGTGTGATTGCGGCTTCGAATGCGAAGACCGTGTTCATGTAGTAGCGGAATATCCGTTGTGCAAGGAGACGAGGGAAGTGTACGTGACTGAGCTGGGAAAAATAGATGGAACGTACAGGGAGATGTTTGAGGCATGGAATGGAGAGGAAAGGACGGTAGCTGTACTGGGGGGTAGGTCAAGGTGGGTTGAAAAGGCGGGAAGGGATATCGTTGGGATGGACAGACTAGGGAAGACATTTGAGCCACCTCTGGCAAAATGGAAAGGAACGATTGGCCATCGGTGATCGGTCCTGTGGGAACAATGCTCCGTCCTCTCGAGGACGCGTGGTCAATGGTCTAACCGCTAAGGCATGCAAAACATAATAGTACGCCCCCCCTCCCCCCCCCCCTGCCCTCCCCTCAAAGACACATGCGGCATATTTACCGCCCATTGCTGGCAGTTGACCTTTTACCCGCTCTGAAAGGGGAAGTTTGGGCGATTGGCTCGAGGAAGGCGGAGGCCGCCTACTCCTTGGTGTTTGGGTATTTCGCTCCCATGTCATTTCACCTTTTTCGGCGTATGTTGGAAGTATTAATGGCCACGCACAGAAGCTTCTGCACTGGTTTCGTGCGAACGCCAGAAGGTATACTGCTGGGGAGCAACCGGAAACGTTCGACAACAAGAACATCACCACCAACAAGGACGATCGTCCTCTTGCATCTGTTGTATCTTTCCAACTCGACGATGCCGTTCATCCTTTGCCCCCGCAGCTGCTAAACTCCATGTCCTGGGAGAGCGCCTTGCGAGGGTCGGGCACTTGTCGAGAGTCTTTGGCAGGGTAAGTGGGAGCCTCTTGTTTTTTTTTTTTCAAAAATACCACAGAAAGACCACCCGTGCGAGGCAACACCACATTCGGAAAGGATGTGGTGGGACTCTTTGTGATGCAGTGGACGGGAAGGAAACCGGTTTAGATGCCAGGCTTGGTTACACTGCAAAAAACTCGTTTCGGGCATCTTTGAGGGTCAAATGCACCTTGCGTCGAAGAAAATTTGTTGCAGTACTTCCTTGTATTTGTTTTCATCCTCTCGTCTACCTTCTCACCTCCCGCTCAGGACGCTGGACGGGACGTTTTTGGAACAGGGGGATACGGCGGATAGCGGAGGAAGGGGTATCTCCCCCACCGGCGCCCCTACCTTTGGCCAACAGCCATCATTCGACCCCACGCGAGAGCCTGTGGGGGACGGCTCGGGGCTGATGGGCGGCATGATGCAGCCGGCGGTCATCGCGTCGTCGCCGCTGTCTTCGGTCGGCGCTGGCGCCGGCGCCGGTACCGGCATAAGCAGCAGCGGGCAGCTGGAACGGGGGGGGGACGGCAACAACAACCAAAGACGGCGACAGCAGGAGGGCCGGCCGTCCTTCGACCCAAACCGGGAGTCTTCCATCGCCGCCGGCATCCGAGCGGCGACGGGGAAAGATCCCCCGCGGATACCCGGCGGGAGGGATGAAGAAAAGGGGGGGACAGTGGCGGCGGCTGCGGGGGGGGGGTGCAAGGGGGGGGCGGACACGGGGG